CGAAACTCGAGGAATTGACAGGCTAAGTGACTGATGGTTTTTGTAACTAATGAAATGACCAGTGATTGATTTATGGACCGACGACAGACAGACTTGCCGACTGCTTGACTTGATTGTTTGATTGATTGATTTCCTCAGGTTTCAAAACTGGAAAAGATTCATAATGAGAGACAAGAGGTAAGCTATAGAAAGACTTATTCTCTCAGATTTACATTTCGTGATCAGATAAGATTTTTTGATAAAGTTTTCATCAATTTCATCTGCAACTTCCGTTTTTTCATTTTGTTTCTTTACTGTATTAGACCATCGCGCAACTTAACAAGATTTTGGACAAGGTGAAACAACAATACAACGATATGGAATCGAAATTCCAGGGTGAAATCTCTGAGCTGCTCCCGAAAGAAGAGGAATTAAAGGTTTGATTGGATGAATTTTTGTGTTTCATGTTACATGACATGCGTGGTTTCATTCAGAGGTGCTATCCATGTGTAGAACACTTTCCCTTCACATTTGATTGGTCTATTGCAGAAAGAAACCATGGAATTAACTAAACGTTTAGATCACATCACTTGGAAATCCGAGATGATGGAGAAGAAAATGGCGGACATGGAGTCTTCCTCGCAAATGATGAACAAAGTCATAGCCACGACCCAAGAGAATATAAATGATCTGAAGTGAGTAACTTTGTCGTAAACTGTTTGATTTCTTTCTTCTTCTTTATTCACTCATTCATAATCTCACTCACTCAACTATTTAATGGCTTTCATGCATAAAGCGCGCTTTCTCAAGACCTAAACGTTCGCAGAGCAATTGTTAGACTAAAAGCAGTCCCTCCTTTTCGGCTTAGTCCGTCGTGCAAGTAAAAAAAAACCGGCGAAAAAATTTTATAAAAGCGCACCGCGCGAATCGCACTCCCAGATTTCCGTGCGAAGCTCCAACGTCCATTTTTTTTTTCGCTTATATTGTGTGACTCGCGCGACGGACCTCACTGAAAAGTAGAGACTGCTCTTAGTCTAAGCAATGGCGAAATGAGTGTCGCAAGTAATCTGTGGTTGCGTTGGTGAAAGAGCTCTTATCCTCCGCACATTGATACCTTTATCAGCGCATGCTCTGAAGTTTTCCTCTTCGCAGCGCCACTTGTATATCTATCCTAACTTTTTCCTTTCTTACTCGTGTACATAAACCCTGCAAGCACTGGAAATAATATCAAAAATGTTGTTTTTTTTAGCGAGGAAATGACTGAATTAAAGATTCAAATAGAGACAGGATTTGAAACCGAGCAAGGCTTAAAGAAATCCCTTCAACAACTTGAAGGTATTTTGTACATAAATGCGACCCATGCAGTGTTGTGAGAATTATCTGCGTCTCTCTCTGTTTCTTAACATTTTTGGGTGAACTGAAGACTATCGTGAAAGTATCCTGCACACGGTTTACCGAGATAGGAACAAGTCTCACTCTATTTGTTATGAGAACGAGGGATTTTACTAGCATATTATATTTGTCACAAAATCATCTCTCAAGCAAGTTCTCCGAAGTTCCTAAAAACCTTATGAATAAAAACCAAAACGTGCTACCTACCATTCACGTCATGTTGTTCTATCAAGCAAAACTTGCACAGAGCGCTATTTATATAGTGAAGAACTTTGCATGTGATTTGACTTGTAGAGAGAATCAATCGAAGCAAAGATAATCATGAAAAGCATATGGAAGAAAGGGATCAGGTGTTAACAACCAATCAGGTAATGAGATTTGTCATGTGGCGGGAAAACCTGAGTGAAACGCAATGTATTATAATTTATAACTTTTCGAGTTCGACCCCATCAAGTCGAGTTCGCCCCTTGATTGAGTGATATCCAGATGAGTTGATTCGTAAGTTGATGGGTAAATTCTTCAGTCTTAATTTCATAAATAGAGCTAAACGGGTACAAGTCTAACAACTTAAGCAATGCTGTCGCGATGAAAGCGTGGTTTGCATCTTCTCAAGTCTGGTTGTTACGATCAACACATTTCGTGTTCGTTAGATAAACCGTGTGGTTCTCTTTATCACAAGTTCAGTGTATACAGTTATTTCTGGTAACCCCAGATACCACGCAGAGTATTTAGTTGATTCCGTCAACCCAGTTCCCAAGCAGGTTCCACGCAATTGCCGAAATTCAAAATGGTCGTCGCCGACGTGACATTTGGCACATTCTGCTAGTGCCTTCGTCACAAATCAACTCATCTGGATATCACTCAATCAAGGGGCGAACTCGACTTGATGGGATCGAACTCGAAAAGTGTGGGGGCGAACACGGCATAAGGTAGGGGCGAACTCGAAGGGGCGAACTCGATAGGGGGCAAACGCGGTGCAATTCCTCCAAAATACTCTTAGACATTTCCAAGGGTTCTGACAAGGAGAATTTGTTCAACAATCAAAAGCCTCTTTAGTTGATGATCATATCCTTTATTCTCATGACCTTAATGTTTGATTCAGGGGTGATGTTGTAAGGAGAAATTAGATGTTAGTCACTCTTAGGGGTTAAAGGTTAACAATAAGATTATGAGCTCGTTGTTTCTATCGCGTGATAGTTGATGGGGCAAGGCCCTAATCAGAGCGAAAATTTTATTTGTTTCAATATAAATCTAGTGGACGGTCAAAACTTAACAAGACAGAAGGTTACAAGCTAAGTCCGTCACTGTATTAGAAGTGAGCCCTGACTACCCAATCGGACTTAAAGAAACTTTTTAACTTTTTTTTATTCCCTAGAGAGGAGTAAAAACAGCCCTGAGTGAAAACAAGAAACTGGCGATAGTTTACCAAAGGTCGCAAAACACCTTGTTGAATAACAAAGCTGCTCTGCTGAGGCTTGTCGAGAGAAGAGTTAACAATGAAGACAGCTTGAAAGATCACAGAGAGGTGCTTTTAAGTACAATTGCTCAAAGTACCATCATTTCTTTGTAATTAAGCAATCTTTACGTCAAGATGTTTTGCGAGTTTTTTTATGGACTACGACTTGAAGAGTACCGCAGGATGTTGACTCAAAAAGACAGAAAACAAAAGATAGGCAGTTATGCACCAACAATGAACAAGGCTGGTTAAAGATGGGGGAAGATTAGAACAGATTTCAAATGATAACCGTGTCAAAGGAAGTAGGTTAGATTTTTCGTCGGGGGAGGAGTAAAAGAGAGGCCATACCGTATACAGGGGATAAGTTTCTGAAGAAAATTTGCTGCTACGTCGGTTGTGGTGGTGGGGGGGGGAGGCAAGGGGTATTACAAGATAATATAGTTTATTAATTGAGTTGATAATGTTTATTGACCTCCGTAAAGGGTTTCTGAAGCTGACGTTTAGTGCATTAACCTTTCGTCAGGTTGAATGATACCGTATACAATTCGTTAACTTTTACGAACCGGCGGTAACCCTAAAAATACTCACAAAAATACTCAATTTACCAGAGATAGCACTTTGAATACCATAACACCGAAGAATGTACCAGAATCAGGAGCTCAGTAATGGGCTTCTGATAAGAATATAGTTGCACTCCTCGGTCCTGAACAAAACCTCATGGCTCCATTTTCTGATAACATTTGTTTTTCTCTTTTCAGCTGTCTGCTCTACAAGGTCGCATGCGCCAAGCATTAGAATTCTTCTACCGTCTTCGTGGCTTACAAAGTAAAGCGGACATAGCCGACTTCGAACTGAGATGTATAAAAAATGGAGATAAACTTACAACTTTACAGTCTGAAATGATGAGAGTCATTGAACACATAAACCGTTTTCTGGAAGCCAACAATGCCGCCCATGATGTGATCTCGATGGAAGCTGCAAAAATTGCGCAAACACCGACAAGTGACGCCATTTTCGCTTAAGGAAAATGTGGCTAACCAGGCTGTAAAGACACAGAAACTGTTTTTATTTTTCAGTGATAAGTGACCTCCTACCCTTCCCAGACTGATAGACGTGTGTCATACTATAAGTATAGGAGAAATAAATCATTTTTATTTGTCAAGGACTTGAAAAAAAAACCAGTCTCGCTGTTGATAACTTGTTATTTCAAAGGCCAATTTTTCTATTTCAGTCTCAGAGGTAGAAATCAGGTCGCTGAACTAAGTACAAACAAACAGTTTATTTTGTTTACGGAGCACCATTTAAAAGGAATGCTATCGTAGCTCATCACAATCTCGTTTGACTGATTGCCAGTATGTGAGTTTTTAAGGCATGGAAAGTGTTTTTCGAATGTTTTATTGTATATAAAATGTTATAATAATGTGTACATATTAAAATATTTAGATATGAAAAAGCGTTTCCTTTGTTGTAAAGACCGACCGAATGTAAGGAAAAAAATTAATAAAGGCTATTTGTAGTTATCATGCGTATGATTTAATATCTAAAGAGACTGAGGATCTTACTCATTGTTTTTGTGAGGTCTTATAGGTGATCACTCGATGTGGTAGTTTTAAAACACCAACAAAACGGATTGAAATATCCATGTTTGTGAATTATAGTGTCTGCCTTTTTGACACGTACTTGGGTACACTGTGAGGTTGTGTTGTAAGTTGTAAGGTGATGACAATTTGGAGTAAAGGAGATAAATCGGAAAGCAAATAATCACACGCCGGAGAGTCGAGCCAAGGAAAGGAATACATCATCCGAATGGGAAGGTTTAGGGAAAATGAACTTTAGTAACTTGGTTTTTTTTTTTAATCAAGGATGCAGACCTACTAAAAGAATCCATTTTAGGGGGGATAGTGTGGAACGTCCCGACGGAGGAGGGGAGGGAGGGTGTTAATCTCTTTTCCCTGTGCAAACCTTATAGACATTTTCGAGCCGTTTTTTTTTTGGTTGTCTTTCTTTGTTTTCTTTTCTTTTTCTAGTTTCCCGTTCAATCATTATTCTATTTATTTTTTATTCCAATCACTGTGAAAAAGGCAAATCCGGGCCCTTGACTATTATGTGTTGGGACGTATTCCTGGGGTCTAGTTTTTATCTCCTTGTAACTCTATATGTCTTGACAGTCACGAGATTTTGTAGTGATTCGAAGAACGGTCGTGATTAAATGGCTCTGACTTACGTGATCTCTTCGCTTCTCCTATCTGTTGTTGTTGCAAAGCCATTGTCGGATACTCCTCCGCAATGGTCTAACGCTTACACCGTCTCTGGCGTGCTGCGCTTGCCATATGCTGAAATCGTGGAACCTATGGAGGTTTGGTTTGACGGTGAAAATGGCAGGAGCAGGATCGATTATTATTCAGGTGAGACCTTCAGAGTCAGGAAACGTCGCCAAGTCATCATCTTTCTTTTCCGCATCATTTATATTAAGTTTTCAAATTGGTGGGAGTGCAAGGTCCGCCCTGTTTGCCCACAAGTGAAAATATCATTTAAGTATTCCACACTTCAGGTTACTTGCCTGGGACACGCAACTAATTAACATTTCTATGGGCGCTTTGTGCTGATTTCGCACAACCAGCGCATCTAAATTCAAGTCCGTCTCTGACTAAACTGTTTTGTCTTGTATAAAATGTTCTCATCTCCGTGAATTTTGATGAGAACAACGTCGCTTGAGCAAATAGAAGTGGACATTTAGTTCCGTTGTCAATAGTCCAGAGACTCCCTCTATTATTTTAAGTAAACTTTTCAAAAGCCTGTGAGGAGTTCAAATGAAGCTGTGGGCAGTAAAAATCAACTAATTGGAGCTCTATTTTTAGGCTTAGCAAATATTTTCAGTTTCATAATGAACTCATACCATTGGCGTTTTGTAATTATGAGTACCAATGAAAACTTTGGGATAAATTGTTTCCTTTTTGCAAGGGTTGGACATTACAATTCAGCGAGAAGATGTTGGGATGTTTGGTTCAAGTTACAGAGTCTGTCCAGAGACCACTGAGACTGAGTTGAATGTGAAAACCTGCTTTCAAGTGAATGGAACCAAGGATGCCCCAGTGAAAATACAGTCAGTTTTACCTGACCTCTCAAATTTCAAGGCAAGTTGTGCAATGTTATGTAATCTTTGAGGAAATGTGTGAGGGAGTTATCAGTCAAAAATGGTTTCAATGCAACTGGGCTTCAGATAAATATGTCATGTTGCTGTTAGTCCTCTTGAAGATCAGTTTTTGAAGTTATCTTCACTATGGCATTTTGCAGGAAGAATACCTTACTCCATGCATGCAAAAAACGTGTAATAAAGTTTTGGTGTCCCATAGTCATACTAAATACTGAAAATGCACACTTCCTATTACTTCAAGTAAGAATGGAATCTTAGAAACATCATTTTTGGTTATAACTATTTGTTGTCTATGGTAAAATTTTGTTAACGAGGACACTGTTGGATGAGCATTTTGAAGAGAGTGAGTCTCATTGATAGTCAGTCCTAAACATATCTCATTTGTTAAACAGAGTAATGAGGTAAAGATTGTTGTTTGTTTGTGTTTTCAAATTTTTTTTTCTCCAGTTTGGTGGCTATGGTGACTGTATTGTAGGCAACTGTACAGTATGGACTTACACTCAAACAGAACAACACAAAGTTAACACATACAACATGTATACATCCCAGTCTGAACCACCAAATCCTGTTCACTATGAAATGTTGGGCTACGACACTCTTTTGGGTTCTCACTATGACAAATATTTGATTGATTTTATGGATTATTCACCTCTAATGCCACCTGCTAAAGTGTTTGAGATCCCAGGTTTGTTTTTTTGTTTGATTTTTGTTTGTTTTGCCTGGTCAGACCCTTTCATTCTCAAGATCTCATTAGTAATTCTCTTTACTGCCTGCCATACAATTCTTAAAGTATTAGTTTGGAGAAATTAGTATTGGATCAACTAATTATCCCCTAAGTTATAATATTTTACTTTGTTCTCATAACTCATCTGCTTGATATTGTATAGAATACTCTAAGGAGAAATTCTGCATTGGTCGCTCATGGGAGTTAAAGGGTTAAACCTTCTCATTTGAACTTTTTGGCTATAATGAGTTATAAATATTATTGATTAAAAAAAGATCATTATTTTATTTAAAGACATTTGTGTGCTTAATTGTTGTTTTAAATTGTTTCCTTGTTCAATCAGGTATGACTTGCAGAGGTTTCCCTGGACCTGGAGCAATGACAAGCTTATTGGCAAATCCTATGCAAGAGTTTGTTGAACCCTATGGCCATGAAAAAGTACATGAGCTGTTTGAACACTTCCTGATAAAGCACCCCAAAAAATATGCCAACACAGTGGAGAGGGAGGAACATCACAGGCGCAGAGATATCTTTAGGCAAAATTTGAGGTAAGAATTAAAGCTTTGATATTGGATGATGGTGTGCTTTGCTCTGTAGTTTTCCATGATAAGTTGGAAGATTTAGTTAAGCTGCCCCTGTTGAGTTTTGTTATTAAATCTGTGCAAGCAATTTTGCACCATGATGCAAGTACACAAAGTTTTTCTCCAGTATTTAAGGAGGTCTCAAAAAAATCTAGAAGCTCATGATAACATTATTTGTAGGTGAATATTTTATTGAAACTCATCCACTTTGAATAAAAGCAATATTATTTGTTTCTTGAGGGATCCATCCCAGATCACATGCCTGTAAATTAATTTGAGGGGTCCACCCAAGATCACATGCTCTCAAATTAAATTCATTGACTTGTTTTGGGAAATGTTGTACTGAAATCACTATCTACTTTTTGCTAACAGTTGACTTAAAAATGATTCTAGTTCCTACACTTTAGTTGACAAGTTTAATACTAAAAGATTTTTAATTGGCTTAGGAAATGTACTGAATTAATGATTAGAAACAATTTGTGCAAAGAGTATAATAACAGGTACACAAGGTATTGGTCCAAGTGGGCGCACATACAATATTTCAGGAATTTTTATGAGGCCAATATGAGGTCCAGAATTGAATTGTTGATTCTGTCTAAGAGGTGAGGAGGCTGTTCCAAGAGCAGTAGTATGTGCTTAAATTATGATACCATACCAGCACATAGGACTTAACTTCTATAAGTATTATAATTTTTGTGGACCATTTGTCAGTTGTCCTTAATAGGCATTGATGTAGTTTTGGTAAAGAATTTTTTTTTTGTTTGTTTTTTTATACTTTTTTCTGATGACTCTGGAGCTTAGCAATAGTACACAAATTAAGGGTTATGTCTTCATAGGCCAAGAGACATCATGTCCTACAATGTTAGGGTTTTTTTAACCCTTTACACCCAAACATTAGTATTCATATTCTCCATATTGTTTTCTGTACATTTACTAAGGTGCTGACAAGGAGAATTTGTCAAACAATCAAGAGTTTCTTTAGTTGCTGATCATTTCCTTTATTCTCATGACATCAATGTGTGATTCAGTGGTGATATTGTAAGGAGAGATTAGATGCTAGTCACGCTTAGGGGTTAAAGGGTTTAACTCTTTTTAAAGCTCTGAAAATTCTCAGTTTTAATAATACAAATCAAACGTGAAAACATTGAGCGAAAAAACTTCAGGCATAAATTGTTTTCAATCGTTCTTTGGAGTTCATTGACACTTCAAAACAAGGAGGATACACTTGTAGATGCTGCCACTCGAGGTCGTTTAATTGCGCTATTGTTTCATTCCTTTGAGTCTTCCTCCAAAAGATCTCACCTGTTCCAGAACGAGTGAATCTGAACTTAGTCATAAGGCTTTCGGCGGTCCTACGTGGCCCCCGAAGTGACTACCCAAAGGATTAAATCGAGCCCTCTGGACAAAATCCAGCGCTAACACCTATTTCTGAATGACACCCCTAAATAGACGTGAAGTTGTAAGGAGTGTCTATTGTAATAATCAGTGAGATGTTTACTGACAGAGATACTTTAAAGTTGCCTTGAGAAGCACCAAAATTGCCTGACTGTCTCCTTCACTGCTTGTTTTACCTCCCTTATCTTCCAGCAGTAGAGGAAAGGGTTCAGGGAGGAGTTACACAGCAAAAGAGACAATGTTACTGCCACAGCGTCTCTAAGAGCTTGTGTTACTTGTCGGCTGATGGAATATGTAAATGCCACGGTTAGATATGGAAGGTAACAAACCAGCAAAGTTATTTGCACCCACAGCACACTGGACACTGTCTTTTTGTAACGCGCTATCTTGAGTTGAATCCCTCTCCCATGCGGTTTTCCTTGGTGAATCTGTTCTCGCGCTTGGGTTTGGTGATGGCGAAGGGTGTGATAAATTTTTGTGTAACAGAGGGTAGAGATTGCTACGCACGGTACCACTACAGCAAAAGAGAGACCAGCAGCGATGCGGAAGTTGTAAAGTACCACTACCACACCCGCAGGGCTAACAAGCCAAATGGCAACAACAAGGATCCTTGCTCTCTTTACTGTTGCAAGATCTTTGTATCTGAGCCGCAATAACAGGGCAAGAAGTCTGTCCACACTGATTGCAGTCAGTGTTAGCAAAGATACACCGCAAAGAGTGAAACCTATTTTGTAAAAAAAGATTCCAAGATAGCTACAAATTTTGAGGTGTCCTTCAGACATCAGGTAGCCAATCAGAAGAGGATGTGAAATAAGGCCCACTCCCACATCAGTGCACGCAAGACAAACGAGTAAGATTTTCGAGGACGGATGCAGAGTTGACACGTTTCTAAGGGCAGCAATGATCACAGCATTCCCCAAAAATGCAACGACAGCCAGAGGGAAACTTGAAATTAAGATAAGCATCTTCTGGCGTGTTTCTGTTTCGCAAAATAACTCTTGAGTTGTGCTTTGTTTTTCGCCTTCAGTTACGTTAGCCATTTGTTTTCCAAGCAGGTTCTATTATCAAAGTCTCATCTTTAAAATCGCGTGTGCTTCTCTTTCGTTCGGTGGGTGGCTTCTGATTTGGATATTTCAGTACGTGAGCTAAAAACTTTAAGTGCGGTTTGCTTGTGACAGTGATGAACAACCTGTTTCTGTACCCCGTGAGAGCGATGTTGATATTGGTTCTGAGTGGTTCTGAAAAATATGTAAGCAGGAAAATGATTTGTAAATCGCTCATTCTTAGACCACCAGCTTAGTTCCCCAAAATTTTAAATGCAACTGGAAATGAAAGCTTTAATTGCGCGAACATAGAAATACAACTTGAAGGTTATGCGAAACCATGGGATTTGGGGATGTTTAACGACAGATGAAATAAACAGAGGACTCAAAATTAAAACGGTAATGTAATTGGCGTATTGCCACTTTAATTGTGCTTCTATTCAGACCATAACACATTACAGACAATACAACTTGTCGGTCTATCAAAAAACAAGAAAATCAAACATCCTCTTTATCAAAGTCGGTGATAAGAAGTGAATTACATGATAAGTTCTCACGATAATTCAATCGATGCTGAATGGTTGGGTTTGCTGTTACGCTATTGGAGACGCAGTCCGTGAAAAGTGATCGGTCAACTGTAGTCCGACGTAGGACTAAAGCTCGAAACGTCAGCAGTTCAATACTTTTAAATCGCTTCATTGGTCTACCAACGTTTAGTATCTTATCGTAGGTAGCCAACCTATTTTTTCAATTGCCCGCCCACGCAGTGTAACAGTTTCTTTAGCAACTAAAATCCATGCGTAGTTCGGTCGCTTCGGCACTCATCAAAAAGCACACACAATAAATCAAAGTTGCCTACTGAACGTAAAATCTGCCTGTCGTTTAATATAAAATTTTTTTGAGAATTTTGTATTCTACTATGAGTATGAGCTTCAAGAAAGAGGGAATTAGATCGCACAAGTGTTTCAAGTTGAACACGATTTTGTTTTTTAAAAACCATTACTAAAAGGCCTTACTTCTCCATTTGTTTACCGAGTTAACTTGTGGAAACTGCAGAGGATGTGGAAATAAACTGTGGCTTAAATACGACGGGTTTCTGTTTCCGCCAGTTTTTAATTAACTACTGTTTCCATCTTGAACAAATGCGACTGAACTGTGTATTTCTTAGAAAACGCTGTTAAGTTTGACCAAGAAACCATGGAGGGCGAAGCTTTGATCTTGAAGAGCAATTTTAGATTGATTATCTCTTGCTTTACGACTCTTTGTGATTGGTGCAGAAAACTCGCGCCACTGTGCTCTTAACCAGTAAGTTGAAGGGACACGGTTGCCTACGTTTTCCCTTGCTTGATGACGGTTTTTTGCGTTTACTGCGAGTTATTTGCTCTTTGCCATCTTTGCCGTAGTTCTGATAGGACGCTTCGTCGAAAACGCTCCACGGCTGATTTCGTTAGGTTGATAGTATGACTGACTACCAGCTTCGTATAAGTGTGCTTGTATCGAACGTCAGTAGGATAGGAACCTCCAAAGGACATCAAATAGGCATGAGTAATCGAGGTTGCAAGTTATGGAGGGTTCAATTTTAAGAAAGTGGGCGTACGGTGACTCTTTCAAGCCTGACAAGACGTTCAGAAATTCTGTGTCTCTGTCACTGTTCTTACGCCGTTTGGTAGCGGTTTTCGTGAAAACGAAAACATAAACAACTCTTTGCATTTGAGGATTATTGACTTGAAAAACAACAAAACTGTCTGATCGTTTCCTTCACAGCTTGCTTTACCTCCCTTACCTTCCAGCAATAAAGGAAAGGGTTCAGAGATGAGTTGGATAACATCAGGGACACTGCTACATCGATAATGATCTTAAGGGTTGGTGTCAGTGATTCAGTGATATAATACGCAACTGTGACTATACCAAACGGAAGATAACAAACCAGCAATGTCACTTGCACCCACAGTGCACTGGACACTGTCCTTTTGTACCGTGCTATATTCAGAGGCACTCCTCTTTCGTTTGGCTGTCCCTGGTGAATATGTTCTTGAACTTGCTTCTGATGCTTGGAAAGGCTGACATAGATCTTTGAGTAGCAGAATGTAGAGATTACTATACATGACCCCAATAAAATGACGACGATTCCAGCATAAATACGGATGCTGTAAAAAGCTAACGTTGCAAAGAAAGCGTTTGAAACCCAAAAGGTGACAACGAGAATCCACACTTTCCTCCAAGTTACTACATGTCTGTATCTTAGCCCCAATGATATAGCGAGAAGTCTGTCTATACTGATTGCAGTCAGTGTAAACAGGGATATTGCGCAAAATACTGAGCCTATGGTAAGGTAAAATCTGATTAGATAAAAACACCATTCGGAGTTTACCGGAGACATGGTATAACCAATACGTAAAGGGTGTATTATAATCCCCACTCCTAAATCGGTACATGCTAGGCACCCAAGCAGAACTTTCGATGATGAATAAAGAGTAGTCACTTTTTGAAGGGCACTGATGATCAAAACATTACCGAAAATTGCAGTGATTGCTAGGGGACCAGATAACGATGAAATTAATATCTTCTGGCGTGGTCCGATCGCTGTGCTGCAAAGCAACTCTTGAAATGCAATTTGGTTTTCATGGCTCGTTAAGTTCGCCATTTTTTTTCTTAGCCAGTTGTGGCTGGAGTTAATGTTCGGTCTGATTATTGTTAAAGGTCAGCGCTCTTCTGCTTCTCCATCGTTGGTTGCCAGCAATTCTTTATATCTTGATTGAAGGAAATGTGTATTATAATCTTTTAATTGTGAAAATTAAAGTGAGTATTCGATATCTCTCAGTAACCCTTTAGTCCTATTCGTTTCCAAGGTGACGAAAGCAAACCTTTTTCCAGCTGAGTCAAGATTGGTAGATCTTGATATATGTGTTTTATTTCATCAACCAAGAAAATTACATCGGAAAAATGTTATTAATTAACGCATTAACTGTTTCGGGAACGGATACAAAATTGATTACATCCGCAAAGATATTTCTCGGGCGAATATGACAAATTAACATCCCGGTTTCCGCTGATGCTGCGTGCCTAGATTCGTGGGAAAAACATCCTTTGACGTTTCCAGATTACCACTAAATAGCGCTGTCAGCACTTCTTACCACCAACGCGTCATTTAGTCTTACTTTCTCGCTGAAATAGTCGAGAACAAAACATGACGAGCGAAAACAACATCGTGCGAGGGCAGCGGAAGGAACTATGGACTTAAAATTTGCCTCTTCATTATATTAAGGTTTTTAGACGTGCACTTTTGAAAGGAAAATCCCATTAGTCGCGTTAGAGTTGCCCACAGTGCTAACGGATTTTTACGGGCTCGATGAAAATAGAGGCGGCCAAGCCGCGAAACGAGCAGCGGAGGTTTCCTATTTTTAATTGAAGGTTCACGGATAACGTTACCAATATTTCTCTAATGCTCACTTACGTTAATTCAAAGCTTCATCGATATTGTTTGCCTGATAGAAAAATAATAATCAAAATTGTTCTCATTGCCGTTGGTATCGGTCGATTTGCACCTGTTTTTACTGCGACAAAATTAACCTTTAGGAAAGCTTGACAGAAGCGATGTTTAGTTCTATTCCTTGACTTGCTGAAAATTTAGAACTCAAATTATGATTCTCTTAAACGAAATATTAAGTTTAAAACATAGTATTAAAATTATTATTAAAACATAAAACAAGGATAGCTTGCAAATTGTGATCAATCTTAAACAAGGAGTCGGTAAACTTTCCATTTTAAGAGAAATAAACTTAACACTCCCTATTTCATGTCAGCCGGTAATTTTGGGGCAGAATAACGTGGGTTTGTTTTGAAGTCAGAGATTCGATTCATTTAGTAAACTCAGTACCGAATGATATTGGCGAGGAACCTTACAGCTTTAAGTTAACTCCAAAAGTTTCGGTAATATTTTAATCATGAAAAGTAACTTGGAATTGTGGATTTTCCGGTACTGGTTTTGTGAGTTGTATCTTACGTTGCTGTAACAAATTTTAGCAACCAAAAGAAGTACCTGTTTTCAATTCATGATTGGCCCAGAGGAAAGGGAAAGCTTTAATTGTAATAATCTTTTGAAAACTGGTAAAAAAAGTGAATGTGTTTTTGTTACGTTTTTCCACTAACGTAATCGTCTGCAATTGCATAACCCTTTATCCTTTGAGTGATCAAGACAGAATTTCCCCTTACGATGTCAATACAATATCAAGTAGACAAGCGATGAGAATAAAGAAAAATATCAATTAGGGATAGTTAGTTAATCCAATACCAAATTCTCCGAACATTACGAGCAGACGGCGAGGAGAATTACCAATAAAATCTTGGGAGTGAAAGTATTAACATTTATCTTATGTGGAGCCTAACTTTGATTTCAGGTTCATAAATTCGCACAATCGTAAGCACGTTGGTTTTCAAGTAGCTGTAAATCATCTGGCAGATCGCTCAACTGAAGAGCTCAGAGTACTTAGGGGGCGTACTTATACAGAAGGATACAACGGTGGCCTTCCATTTAAACCAGACTTGTCAACTTTGAAGGATGTCCCGGATACTATGAATTGGCGACTTTATGGTAACGCAATTTACGTGTAATGGAAAAATGTAATAGCAGTTTTATGAGTGAAACTTTAATCGTAAAAGTAGATTTTTCGCATTCTCGAAATTTTTATTATTCCTATGACATCGCGTATTAATTTTAAAACATCCATTATGGGGAAAGTAATATGTTGGTTTGTAAAATGTGTTTATTGTATACTTGCACTCTAAGTTGGAAGATTTTAGAAACAGTGGAGAATTGTAAATGATTTTCACGTTGTGGCGGTGAGTTGAAATGAGTAATGCATCTTATGAGAAGCTTTGATAAAATAATTAAATTCTCATTGCTCTTTCGTTGCGAAGATAATTAACTGACGTCGACTGAAATTCCTTGTGTTGGCACTGAATTTCAGACAAGTAGATTAAAGTAGCTGTTTGCGTCGATTTTAGGAGCGGTGACCCCTGTGAAAGATCAAGCAGTGTGTGGGTCGTGTTGGAGTTTTGGCGCCACCGGAACAATTGAAGGTGCATTGTTTCTCAAGGTAGATATAATCAATTTACTCTCAGAACTCCAAGCGAATCGAAACAAAGCTTATATACACAATTAACCTTCGGATTTTCCTGCCTTGTGATTCATCACAAGTTGTTTACTAGCGCTTTTTACAACAGATTCTACCATTGTCAGACCCTCATGCTTAACAAGTAGGATAGCATTACTATCACTACTATTTATAATTTCCTGCAGACGAAGAATCTTGTCCGCCTTTCTCAACAAAATCTGATTGATTGTTCTTGGGGTTTTGGTAACAACGGATGTGATGGCGGAGAGGAGTTCCGATCATATCAGTGGATAATGAAGCATGGTGGTATAGCGACGGAATATACCTACGGACAGTATCTGGCACAGGTGAATCAAGGAACTTATACTCGGTAGAGTGGTTTCTTCTGTTTTTCTGACTTTTTTTTATTCGATCTACTCAGGATGGGAGATGTCACTCAGGGACTATTGGTGCCAAAATAGAAAGCTATGTAAACGTTACCTCAGGAGATCTTGAAGCGCTCAAGATTGCCATCGCTCAGAAAGGGCCAGTATCAGTTGGAATAGATGCTTCGCACAGGTCGTTTGCTTTCTACTCGTTTGGAGTGTACTACGAGCCTCAGTGTGGTACGTCTTAAGTTACTATCCAACCATGTTTAGCAATTCTCTTAAGCGAAAGTCTTCCTAAATCAAGCTGTTGAAAATTCAGTGTAGAGAAAGAAGGTAATGGATCGTATGCATTTTGCATCAGAGTTTTCTAATTAAATAACTTTTACTTTAAACTTCAACAATAACTTTTTCCAATTAAAGTTGTCTAATAGTATCGACTAATTCCCCAACATTTTCGAATGTTTAACCTTTTTTCGCCTCAGTATTTGTCTGTTTTGAAGAGGGACTTGAGTTTTTAGACCAATGTATGCACATAGCCGTCTTTGTTAGCTTTAAATAACATATTTTCACTCTCTGTTAGGAAATAAACCCGAAGATTTGGATCACGCAGTGCTTGCCGTTGGATACGGCACCATGAATGGGCAAGCTTACTGGCTGATAAAGAATTCGTGGTCTACACACTGGGGCAACGATGGCTATGTCCTCATGTCTCAAAAGGATAATAACTGCGGTGTTGCGACAGATGCAACCTTTGTTAACTTAGAATAGCTTAGAATCGCTTGGCTGCTTAATTCAAATCATTGAACGAATCGGTTTTAAACTAAAGTAGAATCTGGTTCTCTCAGTGACTGAAACAGCTTCTTAACTCTAGAGGGCTGAAACTAAAACTATAAACTATCTGGTGAATATTGTAAATGATTCGCGAGAGCAATAGCTTATTAAACCTATTTTCGCAAAGTTTGTGTATTGTTTGACCTAATGGGGCACAGCACTTTGACTGCATTGTCTTAATCGATACCTTTTATAACGCCTCCTGAGAAAATCTGCTAGTTCGATATTAGCCATACCGAATTTTTCTTGACAATTTCTTTACTAAAGGTGAATAAAACACTTCTTTTCGTCTTCTTAAGAGCTTTAATTGACGAGTAACCAGTGTTCTTACCCATTTAGGTTTAAGTTATTCCACTTAATGGAAAACACCATAAGTTCTATATCGAGAAACTATTCTTGTAGATTATTTCAGTCGCTATGGTAACTTTTTGTGCCGTTTGGTTCTCATTCAAGGTTCTTCTTGAGGCAAGGATGTAATGATTTACATCTATATATTCTGGACAATCCGAGTCGAAGGGGGCGGTTGCTGGAAGTCTTCGGTAAAGGTCTGACCAGAAATGGTGTTCCTTCTTTATATTCAACCTCCATGCCGTCACCATTCTCTTCGAATTCGCTGTCTGCTTAAAGAAAACGGTAAAAACGTTCAATAAAAAAAGTCATATCAGCTCATGAAACGTTTCACTCCAGTGCCCCATCCCGTTCGTTTTTCAGGAAATCAGCGGTAACCAGTTGAATAATCGTTTTGAACTGAACGGGGAGTAAACTTCGCTGCCTCTGAGCCCAACAGGAGGGCGCTGGCTTAGCTTTTGTGAGATCACCTAACCTTCCGGAAGTAACATCACTGGGAGTAAATAAATATCACGATGCCTGAATTTCCTCATATTTAACAATTGGTTCATACGTCAGCGTACGTTCATCGAGATATGAAGCGGGAAGTTTGGAGAGCACGAAAGATGCACAGGGAGCGTAGCCGAGAGCAACTCTAGCTTCTTGAGTGTCCTCCAAACTTCCCAAGTGCTTCATATCTCGATGAACGCACAGCTGACGTATGAACCAATTGTTTTATAACATTTTCAACCCGATGGAAAATTTTTTTTCTTGAGGGATTTGTTTACTGACGTCATGAGCGTGCACAATAGGAATATGGAGCACGCTCGCGCAATTGAATTTGATTAAACAAATTTACCAGCTATGTTATAATAGAAGTTATGACAACGGTATTTTCAACTAGGAATTATTTTTAAATGTTATGCATACTGTAGTTAAAAAAAGATGCACTGTTGGCAGTTCTTGCAAGCTTGTATGCTTTATATGGTTTGTTGGTTGTTTGTATTGTCTTTCCGTCTCTCTCAACTTCTTTCACATTGAAACTCAAGTAATACCTTGTCCTGTAATGGGTGAGTCGTTCTCTATAGGTTCAGAGGCTTTTGCCTGCTGATTTTGATGAAGGATGTCATTTTTCCATGAAAACGCAGATGTTGTTTGGCGCAAGTTCTTACTCCGTTTTTCGCTTTCGAACTCTCCGTTGCAGCTAGGTACAATCTGTGAAAAAAGCTTTGAATCTTAAAGATCCTAGTTATATTTTCCTTGCCCTACAAGTCAAAGTTGAAATGCTTTTACTGAAATTTAAAATCGTAGTAAAAACAGTTTAAGTGTTGTAAAACCAAAGCCAAAGTAATCACAGCGTTAAATTGCAATAGTGGATAACATAACAAGCCAATGAGAACTCAAAGTGAAATCAACAAATTGTTTCCGGCGCACGAAAACGCGATTGACCATGTCACAAATTAGAAATAGTCTCGCATCTGATTTTGTCAGAGGGTGGCGCCAGTTTCTAAACCAATCACAAAGCGGCGCTAAGCAAAATCAAAGCCATCCGGGTTTTTTTCGACAACCACTTGGAAATTTCTCCAATATTGGTTTATTGAAAGCATGAGTTATACTCATACAGCGATTGTCTTAATTAAGCTTTTGTGACTACATTCCATTGATAGCCACTTAACGTCTTTCCACCATCTGTACTTTACAAAAAGAGAGGTAACTAAGAGGGGCGCGACACAGAGAGATAACTACCAACTTCTCTGGCACCTTTCGAACACTAACACACCTGAGATTTTTCCAAAGCTCCTTTAACAAAAATCATGGCAAAATGAAGTAGCTCAGGGCCATCCAATTTCATCATCCCCCTTTCGATTTCGGCTCGAAAGTGATCGCTTTCCTTCTCATCTTTTATCTCTTCTGAAAAAAAAAAACAATTCCACAATTATCAAGCTCTCATGAAAGTGATATAAATCACTCTTAACTAATAGCGAGAGATCATTCCTTTCCTACTTTGATAGCTTTTAATAATACACAATTTGTACTATGATTTTATATCTGACCTGAAGCGGCTTCAAGACGTTGATCTTTTTGATGACCAAAATTGAATTCTCCTGCGTCATCCTTACTTTCCATTGTTGGGTGGTCATCTCCTGTTCTCAAATTTGCCATCCCTTGTTTGTCATTTGGAGCTCGAGCGGTTGTGATCTGATTGGCATTTACTTTACTAGGATAATTTTTCGTTACCTTTATTTCTCGGTGGTCTGCAACTTCTTCCGTTTCCATGTTTTCTATAGTTGTTTGATCACAAATGTCCTGAGGGCAATCCATTTTTCCCGAGTCCACTGGGACACCAGTGATCAAAATTTTCTCAGGGTTGCCCTCACAAACCTTTTTAGTTTGGTTTCGTGCTTCTCCTATGAGGGAGACGGGTTGGATATTCAAGGAGTTGTCTGGAAAGTCATCCAGTCTGACTTTGTCAAAACATTCAGGATGTAAAAGAGTACAATGGTTGAAGCTGTTCTCTGATAAGATCGGAGAAAAGCGCTCTAAACCTTTAAAAGGTCGGTCTTCCGCTACCACAGTTCTGCGGCTCATCCAGTCAATGACCTCTTCTCGTTCGTGCAACACCTGCATTTTTCCTTTCAATAAATCTCTTCCCGAACGTAACGGACTGACATCCATGTCATCAAAGCTAACCTATATCATAGCGACAGGATTTAATCAGAGACGCAGAGTTATTTTACTTCAGCAGAAACGAACAAAAGTAGTTCCAGTTTGATGAACACTAAGGCAAAATTTTGATTGTAGTCATTGTTGTGCCTGAGAAGTTAGGGGTTAGAATACTGGGAAATAAAGCTGTTGGTTGTCTCTTAACTGCCGGTTAGATACCTGAGCAAAATGTTTAAATCATCCTAACTGATCAGTTAGTCTCCATATATATTTCCATATTTATATTACTATATCGAAAAACGACTCACGTTTGTTATCAGGTCATGTTGACCTATTGCACGAAGAGACGAGCACGTGTCGATGGACATTCTCTGGGCTAGTGGTGGATACTGGCATGAGAAGTCATGGTTAAATTCATGCAAGCTATTGGACACTTTATATAACTGAACATTAGTTGAGTCATCGTTGATGATGTTGAGTACATGTTCTTTCTCTGCTGGTTCTGAGTTGCCCTCAGGGTGGTCGGCCGCGAGGCATGAGTGACCACATTGAAACTTCGCGCACGTTGACAATACTTCAGCTACAGTACATCCAGATAAGATTGTTTCCTTTGAACTTTTTTTATCATTTCCGGGGAAGCAACTTTGCTTGGCCAATTTTGGGCAAAGCGATTCAGTGCATGTTTCTACGGTGTTTACACCGTAATATGGCGCTTTTTCAATCAGATAGGGGTCTGCCTGTGAACTCTGCCAGGTTAGTCGGTTTTCTTCGGAGTCAGGCAGTGGTCCTTTGTTGAAAGAGCTTACTTTCATTAACATATTTCGAGGCAATTGTCCGTCTGACATTCCCTTTGCCTTTTCCTTGGAGTTTCCGTCTTCATGCTGAATGGGTACCTCTTGATCAAGGCCAACGTGAGGACCAAGGCTGCAATCAGAACTCGTTCCTTCTTGGGAAAAGAGCTGGTGATCCTCGGTGAAATTGTCTGTGTCATCGTCTAAGTCCATTTTGCCGAACTTTTCAGCACGTAAGCATATTCTCTCGTGAACAGGGCTCTTTCTCTTCAGGACTCTGGGATCTTGATCTGAATGCTTACTGTGGAACTGATTCTTAATTTGCTCGATTTTTTCCATAGGTAGCAGATGAGCTTCTTCAACCATAGTAAAGAATGATATCGTGGGTCGGTATGTAGCTATGAAAGCGGAAAAGTAAACTTAACAAGAATTGTGATTGGAAGAAGAAAACACTTTGCTATAATCAGTATACAGGAAAATGATGCTAAGAATCGATCTAGGCCTTACATCTGTCAGCATCAAAAAATGAATACCTTCGACCGCAACATCAAATAAGGAAAGAAAACAAACTTACCTTTAGTCCCCATTGCTGGTGACTTGATTCCGATGGGTGGCCAAAAAACTGACGCTGAAAAAAAAACATAAGTAATTCGTGATTCCTTGACCTCACTGTTTTGTCATGGCGCGGTGTGCGTGTTAGCAGACAATTTCGTAGTCATCCGTGACACATTTACTATGCTGGAAAAGTTACGTTGAAGTACTCTCACAAAGAGACAACTCGGTGGATCAGGCAAAGAAAGTCAACGCACTGTGATATGAGAACATTATGGGCCTCCTGCTCTTAATTCACAAGTCTAAATTTAAGCGTTCTTTTAACATGTCATTCAAAGCACACCCATCATTTTCGCTAACCTTTGTTTATCCGATCATGTTCAAACTTCCCACAGACTTTCCAATCAAAGAAGAATCCAGGTTGCACGGCGACTGATTTCTTTCCCGCGTTATCTTCGCTACACTCGAAGTTGTCTTTTGAGCAGGTAACAGTTAACTTGGCGGGAAGTTCACGTGGATCTGCCCCCTGCTCTATCATCAGCATTTCAGCGCGTAACCCTGCGGGTGTAACTGTTCTTCGATCTTGAGCCAGAGAATTTGACATAGATAATGTTGCGTGATCTGTCGTAACTTGAGGTGTTTCTAATTGGCATATTTGCTCATCATAAACAGGGACTGTACATTCAGATTGATCGTTTCCACGTTGTTCATGACTGATTGATTCCGATATTCTCTCTATCAGTTGCTCGCTGCCGCTTTTAAAGACGAGCTGCCTTTCCTCCTTCAGTTTTC